ACATATCCACACACACACACACACACACACACACACACACACACACACACACACACACATATATATATATATATATATATATATATATATATGGGCACTGATTAATGTTCATGCATTTCACAATAGTTGTCACTGGTTACAGTTAATGTATGTTGGTTAATTGTGACATATTGCACAATGAGTTAGGTTATGCATGCGGTTAGTGACGTCCCGCCTGTGTAGCTATGAGAAAGCTAAGTGAATAGGTGAGCTATGGCTAAATATGGGGTACTTCCTTGTTTAGAGTTTGTATTTCTGCTGCCTTCTTGTTAGCCAGACACCTTGGCTTTCTGCTACATATGTATGTATTTTCATGATGAACATATAGCATATGATTATGATATTTCTTATTTTGTGTGCACGCACTATTGTCTTGTGGGAAGATGTTATTATCTTGTTCTCACAGTATGATAATATAATAACTTGTTCCTGCGAGATAACAACTTACAATAACTTAATAACTCACACAAGATAATAAATGTCACCTTTCAGGACTGTAGGGCCTCTGCATATGTGTTGATCTTGTCCTCAGTGTGACTTTGTCTGTGGTACATCACACTGGTGTTCCTCAGGGTCATCTGCTTAGCCCACTGATGTCCAGAGGTGGACAGTAACTAAGTACATTTACGCTACTGTACTCAAATTCAGTCTCGAGGTACTTGTTTTTCACTTGAGTATTTCCATTTTATGCTACTTTGTACTTCTACTCACATACTATATCTAGGAGGGAAATATACTTTTACAGCACATTGATTTTACAGCTGAAGTTACTTAAACACAACCTTACCTATGATACATTTATAAATACAATTATTTGAAAAGTAAACCAACTGATCTAGTTTAACAGTTTGACTCCCTAAGAGAGCAAATTATCAATGTTTTATTAAAAATCACAGATGACAGAAAAGCCCAGGAACTTCCAACAGATTTGATGTATGAGAGCTTAGCTTTTTTCCCTCTTCTCTCTCCCATTCATCCTCTCAAGATCCTTCAGATTTATCTGGTGACTCTTTAGAGGGGCCCGACCCCTGGGTTGGGAACCACCAGATAAAACTATCTAACTGTATAAAGTAGCTCCACCTGGAACTACTTTTAAGAGATGAATCCTATAGTGCAGGAGCAGTGAGAGGGGCTTTGGAGAGATTTTACTATTGTTTTATTCAAAATTAGTTTTTTTAACTGATTTGTGAGGCCAGTTTTTAATTTAGCTATGGCATTAATTAGTTAGAAATAAAACAAAAACTAACTTTTCAGGACCCCTTTCCATTCGGGCCCTTGGCAACAAGTCCCATCTTTCCCCTTACCATGCCGCCCCTGCCTCAGGGAAACACTCTCACCTGTCTTACTGCTCCTCTGCTGCCTGGAGGAGGATTCACACTCAGCCAGGTGAGTCTGTCTGTCTGTCTGTCTCATCTGTGGGTGTAATTGGATTGAATTATTTTTATATCCCTCTCATTTGAAAAAGAATTGTTAATGTTCAGTTTGTTCAGTCAACATGGGACATTTACGAATAGAACAATAACAAAAGAGCCAGGGGTAAATCACACCAGACAAAAATATGAAAACAAGCAGCTTTTTTTTATTAGTATTGCTTAACATCCTTCAGGAAAACGACAAAACTCGAGATTTTTTAATAACTAAATTTACATAGTCATTATTACAACATCACTATCAGGTTTATTATGTTAAAAACATGTCTTCTTTTCTTGGATTTTTCACCAAACGCCATGTTTTCCCATGATAATCTTAAGTCTCAAAGATGTGAAACTTTTTCTGAATATTCTTCACAGAAACATTTCTGCCTGTAGTGATTGTCAGGCTCATGAGAGTGAGACATTTCGTTTTATCCTTCAGAGTGAGACCTCTTCGTGTTTCACCTCCTCTCTATACGTCACAGGGAATTTCCAGTGGGGAAGGAAATCAACTTTAAGAACAACTGAGGCAAACTTCACCTGCAGGACTCAGCTGCTCGTCCCTGGGATTAAACACCAATTTCTTCTGTCGGATTAAAATAATTTTCTCCCCACTGACTGTAATGACGCCGTCGTGTCGCGTCATGACGCACTCCAATTAAACCTGGTTGTTGTAAATGGATCCACTGGTTCAGCGCGAGCATGGCGAAATGATGTGTAAAAGTCAACTGAAGTGAAGTGGACTGAGGACTGTCACTCATTAGTTCATGTTGAGAATCCGACTGTTAACCTGAACGAGCTAACCAGGTAAGAACACGTTAACTACCCACTTTATGTTATAACTACACGGCTGTGTATTTGCATTCATTGCCGTAATGTTACCGTGACCCGTTATAACAGTGGCAGCCTGCTTTGTTATGCTACTCACTTCCTTATTAGCCAGGTAACTCTGAGAGCGTCACACCAAACTCTGTGTTAAAAATGGGAACTCGAGGTTTTCTTTCTTGTCAGCAAACATAAGAAAGTCTTACATCAGCACTAACGATTTTTTTTGTAGTTATGACAGCCACTTGTAAATTCGGCTTGTATGTTTACGACATGAAGTCCTTATTTAAGTCGGAGTTAGAACTTTACTTATTATAGCTTCAGTCACTAAATGTCCTACAGCAGTCCACGGTTTCTTGGTAAAACAGTGTGGAAAAGCTGAAGTGTGTATTTAAATCGGACTACTAATTAGGTTACGTGGATTTTACACTTGCCGAAAACATGATTGAATTCATCTGACTCTAAAATGTATTTATTTATGTTCCTCAGTTGAAGTTCCTACAATGAGAAGTGAAACAACCGTTAAACATGCAGGTTTTTGAACGGAGTTTCGTGTTACGTTCTCCGCATACGGAACCTGTGGGGGCTAGCTCCCAGTTAGCTTGGACAGGTAGCGGTTAGCACCGACTCTTTCAGGATATTCTGTAATACAAAGCCAACAGTGTCTTTACTGCTGTCGGTGCTGTAGAACTGTTGGTTTATATTAACTGTTTATTTTTTGAACGGTCGTTTTAACGGCACAAACGACAAAAACAGCCCGACAGCGCTAGCTAACTGTTAGCCAGAGGGCTAGCACCGGCGCGTTCATGTGCAACCGGTGCGGGAACGCGCGGTACCAAGCAGCAACAAGTGTCAGAGGGATTATTTATTAATAGATAATAATACATTTTACCCATCATAATATACACAGAACTGTTTTTTGGGGGGATTTTAAAAGGGAAATTATAAACAAAATATATAATGAAGTGTATTAAATGTTTGTTTTACATTAGTGGTTGCTTACGTCATTTCCATCATCATTAGTTCATCAGACTTTGTATTTACCACTGCATGTCTCACTGTTGGTGTAATATAAGTGTTGTGTTTGACCTTTGACTGTAGACATCATGGCTGGAGACGACCACTACCTTCATACTTCCAACCAGGTAAACTCACCTCTCACTGTTTCAGCACAGCAGGGGAGGAAACGTTGTGTTATATGAGATTGCAGTTAATAAAATACCTTGTAATAATAAACCTTGTAGCCCTGATCCAGGACCAGAAACCAGACATTTAATTCTTAATGAAGCCTGACACTCCTTACATTGAAATACAAACTCACTATGTGAAAGTGCAGCCTAGAGAATCACGTTCCTGCACTCAGGTTGGTGCAAAGTTACAAAACAAACATGAGTACTGTGACTGAGAAGTGTGTCCTCCATTAAAGTGCAATAGATCTGAGTATGGACACTGAGGCTTCAGGAATAAAATAATCTAAGTGAACTAAGCTCACTAGGATTTTGGAGCTTTCAGCCGCATCTGACAGTCTTGATTCAGTTTATGGAGTTTGCTCAGGTAAAAACGACTAGGACCAATGTTACATGTTTTGTTGAGTTGTATACTTAAATTATCCCAAATGTTTCCAACAATGTTCAAACTCAGAGAAATCTGTCATGTGTTCGCCGTCACCTGTCAGTGGCGTCATAATTCCTTCATGCATGTGTGTCAGGGTTGTGGTCGTCTGCAAGAAACTGTCGGAATTGTCCAATTTTAAGCCACGTTGTCCCGATACATTTTTAAATCTTGGTCATTTTGAACAGCTGGTTTTAACTGTATTAAGGATTTTAAGTCATCGGACGTCTGTATCTTAATTTATCAGAGAAACAAACAGAGCAAACATTAGTGGCAGCTCAGCTCCAGCCCAGAGGAACTCTTGATTTCTCTTGGCATTTTTTGTGGTCACTGTAGTTACCAGCCCCTCTGCCGTGAGATGTCCAGAGGAAATCTGCTTTGTAATGTGGAACTACTTTCCATAGTGTTTTTATGGTTAAATCACCTGGTTTGTTTTGGAGAGAAGGAGACCTCTGCAGATAATTGGGCTCCCTTAACAAAACCTCCTAAATGATAAACACTGAAGGAATTCTAACCGGGAGAAACTGACTGCAATGACAGCATTGATCCGTCTTTTGTTACTGCTGCACCTCTGTGCTGGCCGTGGACGGAGGCATTATATTTTTTAGATTGTCCATCTGTCAATCTCTCTCATTCTTGTAAACGAGGTATCTCAAGCTTGTCTTGAAGGGGATTTCTTTAAATGTGGCTCAAATGTTCTCTTGGACTAGCGATGAAGTGGTTAGAATGTGGTGGTTATACGTCAAATGTCAAGGTCATTGTGACCACGTCTGTCTCCTTCTTGTGAAAGTGATATCTTAAGAACACCCTCAAGGGGATTTTTTCAAATTTGGCACCAATGTCCACCTTGAGTCAAGAACAAGCTGATTAGATTTTGGTGCTCAAAGGTCAAGGTCACTGTGACCTTGTGTCAATCTCATTCTCCTTAATGCGATATCTCAAGAACATCCTTGGTGCACTTTTTTTTTTTTCAAATTTGGCACAAAAGTCCACTTGGTCTCAACATTGAACTGGTAAGAATTTGGTGGTCAAATATCAAGGTCACCATAACCTCATCTGTCTCATTCTCGTGAAAGTGATACCCCGGGAACACCCTGAAGGGGATTTTCTCAAATTTGGCAAAAACGTCCACTTTGAGTCAAAGATAAACTGAGAACTCGTGGTGAAAGGTCAAGGTCATTGTGACCTTGCATCTGTTCATTCTTGTGAATGCAATATCTCGAGAGCATCCTTGAGGGAATTTCTTCAAATTTGGCACAAATGTCCACTCAGTGATGAACCGATAAGAATTTCATGGTCAAAGGCAAAGGTCGCCGTGACCTTACGAAATATGCTTTTAGCCATTACTCAAGAATTTGTATAGTAATTATGACAAGATCAAGACCTTTTAGACCATATCTAAAAGGATAAAATGATGAAGTGATAACATTTTATATCCAAAAGGTCAAAGGTCGGCTTCACTGTGACATCATAATGGTCTTCATAAAACACTTTTCTGGCCATAACTCAGTAACAGAAGGGGAGACATTTGGTTTGGAAACTGTGCTGATTGTGCAGATCTTCTGAGCTGCTGGGTTGAAGACGTGTGGAGCATCCATGTTTTCACAGACATGGATGTAAATTGTAACTGCAACTTGACTGGTTCACAAAGGCGTACAACCATGAGGCTTTAATTCCAGTTTAGAATGAGAGACCCTGTGCGGCAAAAAAATTACATAGGGTATGTTTCGATTAACTCATTTTAAACAGAACTTTCAGATTTGGCACTAAATTTTGGATGTTTGTGGAGCAGAACATTAAATTGTCTTCAATAGTCAGACAGACAGACTTTAGATTTTGTCTCCTACGTCTACAAAATGTTAACATGATGATGAAATGGATCATTTTTTATAAATGTATAAATAGAGACTCTTCACCTCATGTATCTCCGTCAGTGTCCTGGCCTTATGTCTGACTTCTTCTTTCAGATTTTAGACAACATCATGATGGATCCATCGTGGGAGTTCACACCTTTCCCTGTGATGCATCAGACCCCGTCTGTGCGGACAGGTGAGAGTCTCACCTTTATACCTGATGTTAAAGAGCGTAATGTCTTTATTCACCTGTTGTCTCAGTGTTCAGTGAGCTGCTGTTTGTTATTCGTGGCAGAAAAGACTTTACATGGTGAATTTAGTTTCACAGAGAGTGGACGTGTTTGTTTCTTTGATCTTTAAATATCAAACTGTCATGTTGTGATCACAGCTCGGCTATCACATCTTAAATCAACACCAGGAGCTCCTGTGTAGTTTGCAAACCTGTTACCCCACAACAAAAATGTCATGTAGTTTGTTTGTCCCTCCCTCCTCAGGTATTACAATCCTAAATACCTGTTATGCCTTTTGGCTGACCTGATCGATTGGAGCCATTTACACAGACACACAGTTGTTCATCCGTGAGGAGAGACAGGAGCTGGAGGCTGAACAGACTTCCTCTGTCTGTAGGCTGCATTCAGATAATTGATTTAATGTGTCCTCCTGACCAGTGGTTGCTATTAACTCGGATCTGATTAACTGCATTTATTCAGTAATTCTGTCAGAAAGGACTTAATGTGACTTTATTGTTGGTAAAAACGTCTATGAAACGGCTTCCTGTGTTTCAGCTCTGTGAACTGATTGACCTTAAACTGTGACAGATTTGAAACCACAGAAAAGCAGATATAGTTTGGGTGTGTTGCCTCTAAAACAATAGATGTTCAAAGTTTTCATTTTTCAGAGCACTTTCAACTAAAAGTTGAGGCTGACAGTTTATTATCAAATGTTTTTGGTCCATAAATGTTCATCTGTAACTGTTTTAGGCTTCACTTATGTTGTTTTTACTAAACTTTGGTCTTTATTTCCTGGTTCAAAAACTCTGCTCTGAACAGTTGGAAGTGTTGCGTCACTGTTAAGGAAATCCTTGTTGTCTTTGATTTGTGACTCTGATGGCAGCTTCTCTAATTTGAGGATGTTCTGTGATGCTGTGTGAGGTGAAAGGGATAGGTGTGTGCAGGTGTTGTGACAAAAACAGGAAGTTAGTTGATGTGTTTCGGCTGCTGATTTGCTACTAAATGGTTACAGTTTGCATCAAAACTCTTTCCTCTCAGAGTGAATGCCAAATGTGACACTTTACACTTCCTGACGACATCATTATCTGTGGTGTCGACGCAGAAATCACAGAGAAAAAATGCTGCAGAACTCGCTTTGGGATCATTATGCTTTTAAGTTTTCATCAGTACCAGAGTAATCCAGTGGTAGTTGTCCATACATCCATGCATACACTGTAAACAGGAGCTGCTAATAGCTAATTTAAGTTAATTTTTAATTTTTTAAGCCCTTTTCACACCGAGATTGCACTGCAGAGCCGCTACAAAGTCCCTTCTTTATGCCCCCTTTGCATTTTTACACAAATCCAAACGACGACGGCTTCATTCTGCTCCAGTGTGTGATTTTAGACAGCATCCTGGCATCGTGGAATCAAAAGAGGCATGACGTTCATAACGTTTAACACAACACCGTTGGCATCTAGTATGGCGTGTAACATAGGCATTGGCAGCACTTAATAAGCAGTAACAATGGCATAAACTTGGAAATAACAATCATTTACGGCCCCTGTTATGTGTTGGCTGATCGCGTCCCCTGCTCAGAGGGTGAGGACCTCATTGTTTTCCCAAGTTGTGGAAATTTTCAGTCGTTGCTCTTCTTTGAGTTAGCTGCTAACTGCTAACAGTTCCTTTCTAAATCTCCCTTGGTGGGTCGCACACATAAAGGCGGATTTATACTTGTGCGGTGATGTGTCTGTCACTGCAGTTACACCTCCAGAGCCCTAGTCAGTGGTGGGGTTTCTGTGAAGTGCTGTAAAGTTTAGTTGATTGAAAACACATATTAAACACACATTAGGCATGGCTTAATAGCGACAGTTTCAAACACAAGTACACAAATCAGCTTCACTATAACTCGCAGCATAACATGTCGTCAAACTGTCACACCCGTGCCCCCTTGATCCCGTCCTGCTGGCTGTCACTTTCACACCGATATCATTTCGGCGCTGTTACTACCTCTGTTCCTGGCTCAGAGGCGAGACAACTCAGTCCAACCACTCTGCAATTTTACCTTTTATACAGAATGGTGAGGCGACAAAATGGTGTGGAACTCTTGCCGTAAAGAGGCAGTGTAAAAGGGGCTGTAGAGACATTTTTTTAGACCTTGGAAACCCCTGGACCCATACAGTTGGGATATTAAAGAGATAAATATGATCATACAAACGGTGCATTTATGATCTCAGGGTGTGCATCACTCAGCCAACCTTACCTACATAGGTGTCTTGCCATCAGCTCAGAGTGCCTTGACATTTTGGGGTAATTTTGGGTAAAAATTTTTTCATATTTAGTCTTTATTTTGAGGCTCTGGACAGTTGGAGGTGAGCTGGAAGCGTTTTGTAAGACAATAGAAGTTTTGTTTTGGTTGCACATGTTTTGATCATTAAGGCGTGAACAGTGGTCAAAGTGTTCAGATCCTTTACTTGAAGGGTTACTTTGGATTTTTTGAAGTAGGGTCATATGAGGTTCTTATCCATAGTCAGTTTATTACATACAGTAGATAGCGGTCGGCACGCCCCCAGTTTAGAGAAGCAGGCAGGAGTACTGCTACAGAAGATAAGTCATGTACTGCTGTGGACGGGGGCAGCAGCAAACCATTTTTTAGCCACCCTAAAAAATCCAGTATCAGTTAAAAGTGTGTGCTATATTGAGAATGTTTTCATCCCTTTGCCTTTCTGTCAGACAGCCCTTTATGATGGTGAAGCTGAACAGCTTCAGTTCCTCATCTATGCCCTCGTCAAAGCCACCAGACTCCATTGACAAAAATGCTAATTTTAGCGAGCTGAACGTGGATTTTTCCTGTTCTACCGCTGCCTTGATCAGTTAGTTAGTTTGTGTCATTTTGTGACTTTAGTGAATCCAAACTAACTCTAGTTAACACCAAGTCATACGATTACACTAACCAACTGGTTGAGGCAGTGGTAGACCAGCAGCTCCTGTGTTCAGCAATGTTAAATTCCCGATTTTCTCAATAGAGCCTGACTTTGAAGAGGGCAATGTGATGGCTTCAGTTACCAGGCGGAAATCTCTGTGTGACATCAAGGCAAAGGTGTGAAAATATTCTAAATATAGCGCACACATATTAATTTTTTTTAAACGTGTCTAAAATAAGTTTTGCTGCCGCCCCCATCCACAGCAGTACAAAGCTTAGGTTCAGTGGCAGCACTCCTGCCTACTTCCACTTCCACCATCTGCAGGCGTGGTGACTGACGACTTTTATATATAATACACTGACTGTGGATAAGTAACTCATTAAACCCCGTTTTAAAAGAAGTCTTTGTAGCAGTATTAATATTGCGCTTTTTTAAAATAAAAACCCTGCTTTGATAATGTTCCTTCAGTAAAAGTATGTAGGTATAATCAGGAAAGTGTAGTTAAGATAGTAAAGTAAAATAAATATTCTGTGATTGTTATACTATTATTTATGATGTTATAAAATATCATAAATAAGTTGTAGTTGGTTGAGGTGGAGCTAATTTTTAACTGTTAACTTATGTTTTTTTTTTCATTATTATAATCATAATTATTTTCATGTTTGGTTTGACTTCAACCATCTGAACATTTTTCAATTAATTTTCTGTCAGTCAACTTATTAATTAAATGACTGATTGTTTCAGTTGCACTTTGGTAGTTTCATTTATAAACTCTTAATATGTTTTGTTTGAAAAATCTTAGATAAATGTAGTGGAGTAAAAAGTTTAAGTATATTGAGATGAAAGAGCTGCAGAGGAAAAACTTGTGAAACTGAACTTTCTCTTTGGAAAACGAATGTGTGTATTTATACTAAAACCTGCCCTGTGATGAAGGTAAAGTGAAAGGTAAGTTTCATGACTTGCTGGTATCTGTGCTCTGTGGTGACTGTGGGATGGCTCTCACTTCTGTTTGAGTCCGTTATTCTGAAGTAAAGATAGAAAGGGTTGTAGATGTGGAGAGGAAACGACCTCCTCTTTACATTCACGTCTGAGTGATTCATGTGATTCATCAAAAACCTCAGTTCCTCTTTTATCACTCTTCACTACAGCAGTCTACAGTAAAGTGTGTATATATATATATATCTATACTGTGTATCTAAGATAGCTAGATAGATATAGATATTTTTTCAATATAAAGGAGGAAAATTATATATCAGAAAATGCAAAAACAAAAAATATATTGAAAGGCAAATTTTTAATGTTCACCGCAACAAGTAAAGTTTACTAAAGTTTACCACTGGAATAATAGACTTTTAATTAATTAATTAATTAATTTATATTAAAGAAAAAAGATTTACATTTAAATCAGAGCCTGACTGATACTTGACTTTGGTGCCGATATTGCCCCGCTAATAAAATTCTGTTATACTAACCAGTAAACTGATACTAAATACTGTGATGTAAAATATTTCCTTTAGAGATAATTCCATTTGGCTATTAATAATTAACATTTTTTGTTTGCAGTATGTAGTGAGTGGGATGTTGTTTTTTTTCCCAGTGTAAAAATCAGCTTGTTATTAAATTGTTTAATAGACTCTATAAAGCTGTGATTAATTAATTTAACAGTGCTGAATGTTTGTGTGGAAGTTGATTTTGTTTCCTTGTGGTTTCAGTGGACGGACCGTTCCTGCAGATCACAGAGCAGCCCAAACAGGTAAAACTCACCTGCCCTCCTATCGCTGCATTGATGTGGAGACCCACAGTGACGTGAATCATTTTAAGATGTGTTAAAATGTTTTCAATGTTTTATGAAAGAAGAGTTCCCAGTTTTACATTTCAAAGTTTTAATCACAAAAGTTGTTTAAGGTGGACTGAAAGCATCGTGGACTGATGGTGGGTTTTTGTTCAGCTGATAACAACATCAATAATTGAGAGATCTTGAAGAATCCAGTAATCTTATATCAGCTGATATTTACATAAACAAACAAAGTGTTTCCCCAAAGAAATTGGTAACAACTTTGGTCTCTGTTGGGTCCAACGTGTCGCTTAGTTTATTCTCTCACATCCTCTCCTGATAATCACTGATTGATCTGTTTGTCTTGATTTCTCTCAACCTGTATAAACTCAAGTTTTCTTTTTTCCTGACGTTGTGATGTGTAGCTCTGATTAATTCATCAGACACACTCTGATCAGGTCATAAATATAGTGACTAGATGGCAGTTTAAACACTGACATGGCATTTTCCCCTGAAGGTTAAGGAACTTAACATTATATTTTCAAAAAATATAATGATTTTGTCTTAGAATAGTTCAGGTGCTCTTTGTTTCAGATGCGGTGGAGCATCGATGAAACACAGAAAATCCTTCAAAGACATTAATTTAAATCATCTAAAGATTCTTTTTGACTTTTTGCCTTTATTTGACAGGAAAGATTAGGCGTCAGAGGGGGACAGAGAGGGGATGACATGCAGCGAAGGGTCGCATTTTGAAATCGAGCCAGCGACCACTATGGCAAGGACTTGTTTTGTTACATTGGATGCCCGCTCTACCCACTGAGCTACTGTACACCCCACAACTAAATATTCTTATTAAAGAATAGTGATTTAAATAAACAGTATGTCCGCAGGTTTGGCTGCTTTATTGGAGCAAATTATTTTGGCCAAAATCAAGAACACAATTACTCATTGACTTTGAAACATCATGTATTTATTGAACTTTTAATAAAAAGGGTGGATTTTCTTGAACATTAAATGTACTTTCTTGCCTTGCTGGTCGCTTTTTAGAAATAAAGTCATGAGAGTCTAAATAGTTGCTAAATCCAGCCATTAAGTCGCCAATATTGCAACACAGAGCGCAGCACTGGATTCATAACACGAGACAAAACAAGAGCATCATTGTGAAAAAGAATGTGGCACGATAATCATTTTATCTTGATCATGTTTTCATAATTGTTGGAAGCCAACATTGTAATTGAAAATGAAATTTGATTAACCACCAAGCCCTTGCCAACAGTCAAAACCTTAACACATAAAATATTATGTTACCACATCCTCCCTGCACCCATGAAGTCAAAGACAGAGTTTCAACATTTAGTTCACGAGTCAGAAAAACTACCTCTACCATTATCTGTTGGCTGTTATCTGTTCGATGATATTTGGAGGGAGTTTTGTGTTTTTGGTGTTCAGAAAGTCCGACAGCTTACACTACCAGTTCGTACATTGTAGTCTGAATCCCTCCGTCGTATTTTTGAGAAGATGACATCAGTGTCTTCATCACTTAAATCAGGATCTTTGGACATTCAGAGCCATCAGTGCAGGAAGGGTTGCTGTGTTGGGTTGTATGTCATTTAACTTTTTTTTAACTAATCCCTTAAAAAAATATATTTGAACAGATTCTGTTCAGCTTAATTATGGATGTTACATCACTCATACATTATTCTGTTGTTCTCAGGTTTATAAAGTATGATAAATATGAAGGGTAAACATTAGGGATGCACTGAATATTCGGTAACCGAATATTTTCGGCCGAATATTGCAAAAAACCACACATTCGGTATTCGGTGGAATAAGTTAAAAGCAAGGCCGAATAATAGCGGCGTGTTTTGATAACGCAATCAAACAGTGTGCCTTGACGGGCTGAGTAAAATGTCGGCAGTGTGGCGATCTGCCCGTCACGGCACTCGCATTTCCGACTAAAAATAGTTTTGAGCGAGCAAAATAGGTTTAAATCATTCAGCACACTGTGCGAGCAGCCGACAGATTTCAACCAGCAGCAGAAACGAAAGGCGAATCCCACCGATTGTGGGTTGAACGGGGGTCACAGACACAGACAGTAATGCATTCCTGTCAAATATGGCGGCCATCGGCTTACCGGCGACGGATAAGTTGGCTCCAATAATATCCTCTTCTTGGCGTGTGGACTGTCCAAAAGTACCTGAACAGCCAAGCCAGCCGAACACAGGTATGTGACGTGTCAGAGGAGAAACGTGCCGTTCACGGCCCACAAGCCTCACCGCACTTTAGGGACTGTTTGTTACTTGTGAAGGGGAAGGGGAGTGAAATGATTTTTATTTTATTTATTTATTTTATTTTGATCCCCCCTATGTTCATCACTCATTGATGCTGTTTTTTAAGTATGTATAAGTCAGTAAGTAATTTATTCCATTGAAATATCATTAATGTATTATAAAAAAGTGATTTATCTTTTTATAAATGACAAAAGGCACATCTGTCTAATTTCCGCTGTGGTATCGTGATACTACTCAGAACCATGATATTTTAATTGATATCGTACAGTGGGTCCCAATTTTGGTACCGTGACAACACTAATCTGGAGGGGGTTCATCTGCAAAAACTAATGAAAAACTAAACAACGATATTCGGTATTCGGCCAAGCACTTAATATTATTCGTCTTCGGCCACAAATTTTCATTTCGGTGCATCCCTAGTAAACATACTTTATATCTGCCTTCCTCCGCTTCAGCTAAAAGTTTAGTGGAGCTGCTAAGCATAACTGATGACAAGAGATTAATGGCACAGGAAAAAAGCATATTTCTTTGCTTTTAATAGTCCAATAGAAACTTAAAATAGTCTCTACCACAGCAGTGAGAATGAGAGTGGGGCTGCATGTTACCTGAACATGCACAGGTGCATTTATGCAGAATTTAGTCTCTTTTTTAAGCTGCTTTGAGTCTTTTTGCCTGCAAATTCATCCATTTTTTAATTTAGAAACTAACTCCTCATTGACCTGTGCAGGAGATGAAAACAAACACTGTGCAGAGAGAAAGTGCTGACAGGATCTGAAACATGAGGCAGCATTAAAACACTGAGAAGCTTCAGGTGTAACTACAGAAGATGTGACACATCTGTCTGCTGGTTGTGTTCTCGATGTTAACATGACATCGTTTGTGCCTCTGTCTTCCAGCGCGGCTTCAGGTTCAGGTACGGCTGTGAAGGTCCGTCTCATGGCGGTCTGCCAGGAGCCTCGAGTGAGAAGAACAGGAAGACTTACCCCACCGTCAAGGTAACACTTCCTGTCTGTTACAGCTCGCTCTGTCTGTCTTCCACAGACGTTAATGTGTGGTCTTCTTGGTGGTGTTTGATGTGTCTCAGATAAGACTTGCAGTACTGATCAGCTGGCGTATTGATACTTCTTCTCTTGTAAAGACATTTCAGTGTCATTAAACAGCCTCAGTTTGAGCTGTGAGGTCGTAACAAACACATGTCAACCTCCAGCTGCAGGTGTGTGTGGATCACAGTGAGCTCACCTGTCTAGTACTGAAAAGCCGGACTGACAGCAGGTGACATTTAAACTACATTCCAGTGTGAAACGAAGAGGCTAAAAATACTGTCCAGGAAGTGACATAAACTATTTGATGCACAAAGGCGAGTGAAAGCTGCGAACACAAAGTGAGTGTGGTCGACTTTTGTTTGCAGAAACACAGTTTCCTGTTGGCTGACTCTGTCATGGTGAAGCAGTTTGTTTTCTGTAGTTTGAGTTTTTCTCCGAATGACTAACAAAATATTTCATGCAAGTGGATTTAAGGAGGACAAATACCCTGTGATTCACCGCAACACACAACCTCAAGTTTACTTCTGTGTTTATATGATGCAACAGAAGCTTTTGTTCTATATTAAGTTTCTTTTTTTTCATTACCAAAACCACCTTTGGGTAAACATCCTTATAGCTTGTCCTTATTTGCTCTCCTATAGTTTCTGTTTCTACTTTTTTTTTTCTCTGCTAGTTGTATGTGCCTCTCATTAATGCTTACTGTTTCATTTCTCCATCTGTCTGGACAACATGTCTGTCCTTGTGCTGCTGCAGTTTAAAAATCGTAATACAAGATCCACTTTTACGAGCTTTGTCTAGAGTTTCAATCAGCTTTAAATTTGCTGGTGAAGGCTGTGAGATGTGGGTGAAAGCTCTAGAAAAAGCTGGTAAGTTTCGGCAAACCTCAGTCTAGTCCATGTCAACTCCATTATGAGTAGGGTTGAACCAACTGTCAGTAAAATCAGATTTAGGTGTTCAATACGAATATTCAGCGATCAGTTTTTGAAAATTTCATACAAAGTTTTAAAGTTTGAACAGAGCTCAGCGGGACGTGCAGTGTGACAGTGGCATTCATGTACCATAATAAACAAGCTAACAGCGCTAACAATGGATCGGAAATGTGCAACAACATTTTTGCCATCACTGAAATGAAACAAAAGTCAAAGACTGTCATATTAAGTATGTGTGAGCTGTAAATTCACCATCTCCAAGCAGAAAAGAGAAGATAGTGTTATTTTGGGGCCATGCAGTGGAAAGTTTCTCCTCCTCTGTGCCGCTGCATCTGTCTGTACCAAACAGAAGTGTGTAAGTCGAGAGCGCTCACTCTGCAGAAAAATCTGGGGACCAAAACGTCCCCTGAGGTGCACTGCACAGCACACTCAGTATGTTTACATGCACAGTTTAGTGGCGCTACAGTTACAGCTTGACTAGCACATCTAACTGGACTACTGTCCTTGTCCCAGTATACAAGCACGGGAGGGGCATTTATCAACCGAGGTATATGCAACTCCTCTACGATAGGTGGAGATATGCCCCCTTTCAGCTTGTTAGTATTTGACCTTTTTCCTGTTGACCTATTACGTCACAGACCAAACAATGGACAAACAAGTTAGCTACGGTTAGCTAGCTGCTAACTGGTACCATGGTGGACAACTTTACAGCTCTGTACATTTGGTCCGTCCAAAAAGTCACGGCTCTGGATGTAGATTTCTCCATGTTGTTACCGGTTTCTTCTTCTCTTACACATTTAATGCTATTGGACTTCCTGGTCAAAGCCTGGGGAGGAAACTGTGGAGCATGCTCAGAGCGCCTCGGCCAGTTTGGGTCTGATTGACTGTATACATGCAGGAGTCACATGATTTGGGTGTGTTAGTCCCACTGTGAGATTCAAGTCATGTAAACGTACTGAATGACTAGCAACAAAAACAAACAAAAAACAACAACAATGGCAACGACTTGAGTCCTAGTCGACTGACGTGAAGCTCTGCATTATTTTTTTTAAAATGTGCTCCATGAGAAATAGGGTTGGGACTCGTTAGGATTTTAACGATTCCGATTCCTTACCGATTCCTTCTTAACGGTCCGATTCCTTACCGATTCCTCTTACCGATTCCTCTTACCGATTCCTCTTACCGATTCCTACATTATATTCATTATACTTGCTATACTTAAACAAGTATATAATAAGCACAAATACAATCATACAAATACAAAAACTTTATTCTAACTGTTGCACAGTACAATTAGATAAAAATACACGTGTGTGTGGTGTGTATTTCAGATTTAGAGCTTGTATCATCTCCCTGAGAATATATAACAACAAAAAGTGATTCTCTGATTTTTACAGTAACACTATTAAAATTAACCACAGCAATGTAATAAAAAATACTTATATGCATTCATGCTTGGGCACTGTTATTTACGTGACAACACCTGAACACAACACACACACATGGGCTGTTTGTTTTTTATCTCTCCCCTGGCTGGAAGCGGACCTCCCGCCGCCAGCCTGCGCCTTGATTAAACGCTGAAAATTAAATAAAAGAGGGAGACAGGTGTCTCCTATTTTATCTTATTTTGTTATATTTCTACTGCTCCCCTCGCTGAAAGCGTCGGACCTCCCGCCGCCCGCTCCCGTCGCCCGCTCCCGTTTCAAACACGGAAGTCTCTGTCCGCTGAGCACCCGGCGCACGCCCGGCCTGTTAAACAGCCTGTAACCATGACAACTGTGTGACACAAACTCAGTGCTTTAGTGATTAGATAATGTCGGGCTCGGTCAGGTTCGGACAGAAATATTTTTTTTATTTTATTTTATTTTTATTTTTTTTACAATCTAGGAACCGTTTGCAGTAACCATTAAGCCAAATGTGATGGAACTTTGGACCCGGTTCCAAAAAAGAACCGGATCCGGATCCCAACCCTAATGAGAAATTAACTTCTACAAACTTCTACAAAGTTAATTCAGCGTCGAAATTTCTTTTAAATTCCTTTTAAATTTCTGAGGTTTTACAAAACTAATGCAGTCTTCATTAACCTTTATCGTTTTGGATGTAGTGTGTGTGTCACATTGATACAAATGGAGTGATGTGACTCCTGCATCACTACACTTGTATTATTCCAATGACACTGATTCATGTGGAATAATATTTGTTGATCACAAACATTGTAAAGTGACACAGCAGGCTGTTTTTAATCTCATGTGCTCTTATCCTTTTCTGCACATGATTTCAGCTCCGGATGTTTGTTCTCACTTCTGTCAGCTCTAGAGGTAAAACCATCAGTTAACCAGAAGATAATTAATCAGCATTCTCAGAACCCATCGGCTGTATTCAGTGTCTGACTTCCGGCAGACAGCGATACAGCCTCTGGGGGCAGACCCCTGATTTTTTGGCATTCCGGTTTGATTTGGCCGGAGGAGGCGAATTTCCGACTTCCGTTCATATGTAAGTAAATATGCTGAACATTGTGATGGATTCAGAGTTTGCAGTGATGCCAATTATGTTCCGCCTCGTTAGTTCACCACACGGACCGTTTAACCTGGCAACAACTGCAGCCGGCTCAAACGTGATTGGACAATATCACGTGGACTACAAGCAGCCTACAACCGGAAACCAGGGCTCTTCCGCTCTTCTTCCGGAGGCAAGATCTCCGGGGTTTGCCTACAGACTCTACATTCAGTGAATGTAGAGACTATATAGAGACTTATTAATCAGCAACTTGTTTGACAATCAGTGAAGTTGTTTTTTTTAGCAAAAATACCAAGGTATTGGTAGTTTCTGAGTTAGTTAACGGTGAATGTATTTTGGGTTGTTTTAGTCTTGTTGACAGTGAAGTAAAAATCTTTGGGTTTGTTGGTCAGATAAAACAAGACATGTTAATATCACAACTTAGGGTCTTTTTTCTGACGTATTACAAACTAAACAATAAAGTGATTAAATCGAGAAAATGAAAAATGTTTAGTTGCATCACGAAAAGGAAAGTAACCACAGCTCAGTGTTGTTCAGAATCTGTCTGAATCCCTCTCTGGTCCCGACGGACCACCGCTTTCTCAGAATCAGACACCAGAGAGCTATCAGAAATATTTCTTATTTCGATTTTGTCATTTAGAAATTACATATTTGATTTATTGTCGATATCAACCAAAAATACCATTTTATCAGTTCTTGAAATCTCCCACAAACTCCATCTGCGTATCAGATGACCCTGTGTGGTTTGAGGTTCTGTGTGAGACTCCCTCATATTTACAGGACTTTATATTTCATGGTGTTTCTGTTGGTGTTTGGAGTCTGAAGCTCCCACATGTTCTGACTAAAACAAGAGGAGACGGGAAATCCCCAGATTCCTGCTGCAGTCTGACTCTCTCTGCCTCTACTCTCTGACTTTACCGCACTTTACTGTAGAAATATATCTGAAATTTGATTCACACGAATCCAGATTTTAGACACGTCCTGACAGACGTTCTTCTCAAGTGTCGTCACATCTAATAATCCTGAAAGCAAGCAGTCGGCCGGTGATGTGAAATCATTTGTTCTTCTTTTTTTAGAAACAATTATTTAAAGACATTTTCAGATAATAATGTGCAAAAATAAATGTTTTTTTCTTAATTTTATTTCATTTAGTTCAGAACTTCCAGTATTTTCAAAAGAGGAAGGATGTAGGAAGTCCTCGAAAGACGTTTTTTTATAAAGTAGAGGATTAAAAAGCGGAAACTGGACGTGTTTGAACTCACTTGGATGATTTGGGAACTCAACTGGTGTCAAATTTTGTGGTTAAGTAAAAAAGAATTTGCATTAAAGTGATGACGTGGCAGAGATAAGCAGAGCTGAAGGAGGAGGAGCTGCCTTGTAAAGAAAAAAAAATAATCTTTTGATGTCACGTCATTAATTGACATATTTAAAATATTTATTGAGGTGTTCAGATGGATATTTTCTGTAATGAATGAGATGAGGTCATGCGAACAAAGCAGGAAGTCT